GCTCCCAATGGAGGGCGGAAATGAAGAGGATACATCCATGTCCCTCCCCCTTCTCTTGGCAGACTCCCATCCCAATCCCTGCTTAGTATATAGAAGTTGCCTAAGGCCAGAAACAGGACTTTTTAGGGACTGGGGACTGGTATGGTACTAACTTTGACTGTCATGAAAAGGGTGGGCTTAGAGCAAAAGCAACACAGCTATCATGTTGCTGAAGGGCTACCAGTTCTACCTCGGAAAACTTCCCTTGGATTTCTGGCCAGTGAGTTGCATGGCCAGCATTCTTTGTGGACCCAGTTCTGGCATTTCCTTAACTACAACTCTATCAAGGACAGTTCATTATAATGATAAGATGATAAGAGGGTGAGCCCTGTACAGAGTCCACCTCTGGAACTCACTAGTTATATGGCTTTGGACAAGTCATTTAACCCTTCTGTGAAGTTTTCTTATCTATATAAAAGGGAAAACAAAACTAGCATCTTCTGAGTTTTGTGAAGATTAAATGACCTCATATATGAAAAGTATTTGGCACATTACTTGGCACCCAGCAATGGATCGGTCCATTTAAGCTGAATTTTTTAAAAGTTGTAGTAACTGAGCTTCATCAGTGCTTACTTGAGACAGCCCGTCACATTGCTAGCAGGCCCCATCATAAGGCAACCCTTATGTGCTTCCCTGTAAGTCCTATCTCAGGGTCTCATCTGCTCTGTTGACCACTTAGATCTAAGCCTCATGGGCATACTTCTGACTCTGAATCAGGAGCAGGGCTAACCCATGCTTGGTCTCTGTCCCTTTCTTCTTCCTCTCAGATGGAGGAGCCACACAGGAATGCTGTCTGTCTTCAGTCCCAGAGCCATTTCCTCTATAGCTGTACCACCTTTCAACACTGTTGGCATACTTCCTTTTTGAACTGAGGCACAATTCCACAGTGGCCACAGCAAATGCCCTTGAAAGGGTGCTGTGTTGGATGTTGGGTTGGCAATGTCCTGGGGCATGTTCATGTCCCTGTACCTGGAGTCTGGTTGGGTAAGCCAAGCATAATTCCTTCTCATAACTTCCCTGTACAGAGTATGTGATTTCACCTCTGATGCCTGTTGGCTGAACTCATTGAATTTGTCTACACCACTGGGTGCTGGCCTTTCAGATAGCCTCCCTGGATCAAGTGTGTTCCATTGTTGGTTCATGGTCACCACTGAAGGCACTTCAGTCTAGGGACATCTTGGGACTTATTTGGAGAAGGGTTTCTAATACTCATCCAAGACCTTCGCTTTCCCTTGAGTATGGAGCTTGATTCTATCCTAGGAGCAGTGTTTGACATGGTCCATTATTCCTTCCTTCTCGAAAACACTCTTCTCTTGGCTCTAGGGCACTTGATTCTCCTGGGTTGTTTTCTTACCCATTTGGCCACTCCTGCTCTGCCTCCTGTGCAGGCACATCTTCCTCTACCCACTCATTAAGTGCTGCTCTGTCTCTAAGCTTGATTCTCCTTTCATTTTTTTTCTCTGAGTGACTCCATCAACTTTGGGCTTCAGATACAGTCTGTGTGCAGAAATCACAGTTTTACCTCCAGCTCAGACTCTTTCCAGAGTTCCAGACCTGCATTTTTAACTGCCTCCTTTTCTAGAGTATATCTCTAGTTCAGATTGCCCCCAAAACATCCATTTTCTCTCTACAGCTATACTCATTCTATTGTTTCTTGAACCCATAAACAGAACCATCATCCACCTTGTTATGAAAACCAAAGACTTGGGGCACATGGGTGGCATAGTTGGTTAAGCGTCCAACTCTTGGTTCCGTCTCAGGTTGTGATCTCAGGGTCATGAGATTGAGCTCCGTGTTGGGTTCCGTGACCAGCAGGGAGTCTGCTGAGGACTCTCCCTCCCTCCCCCTCTGCCTTTCCCCTACACATGCACTTGCGAGTGTGTGTGTGTACGCGCGCACACACACACACACACACATAGTCTCTTTCTCAAATCTTTAAAAAAAAAAAAAAAAAGGAAACCAAAGACTTGTGGACATCCTTGACATCTTTCTCCCTCACTCTCTGCATCCATCCCATCAACAGGTTTTATTTATACGCATTTCAAGTAATTATCTCTTTTTTTCTATCTCCACTGCCATCACCTAAGTCCACACAACTATCATCTCCCACCTGGACGCCTACCATGGTTTCCAAATTCGTGTCTCCAAGCCACTTTGGCTCTATGCTGAAGCTGGAATGATCTGTTAGAAAAGCAAATCTGAGCATATTATTGCTCCATGAACAACACTTAAATCGCTGTCTGGGTTTCTCGGGGTAAAGAACAGAAGCTCTCATTGTGGCCTCTGATGCCCTGTGTGGACGGGCCCCAGCTGTGCTCTCCAGCTTCTCTCTTACCATGCTCACTCTGCTTTCTCACCCTCATTACACTACGTTTCTTTCATTTCTTGAGTGCTCCAGGTTCCTTACCCCATCACACAGCCTCAGCCAGTGCTATTCCTTCTGCTGCTCCCACAGGCTCGTGTAGTGTTCTCTACCTGGTCATAGCCCATCATCCCTTGGAGCTCACCCCATTGGCCACATCTTCCCACTAGTGATTTCATTCCCCTCTTATGTGCTTTCCAAGTGCCACATGCCTCTCTTGTCTCATCATTAACAGATTTGAAAGCTTACTGTTATCAATTCATGGTTCATTAATTCTATCTCCCGAGCCCCACCACCACCACCACCACCACCAGCACTCATGGTAGGTTCTTTGAGGGCAAGAACTGTGCCTGTTTTGCTCACCACTGTATCACTGAATGCCTGGCATATAGTGAGTGCTTGTGATTTTTTACCAAAGGAATGAAGTGTGAATCTCTTTAAACCAAGCCAGCAACAGTGTTCCTAAGGTAATAGGATCCTCTCCAGGGCTCCTTTGCCCTTGTACCACGGGTCTCTAGAATAGGATCTCAGAGCAGGCACTAAATAAAGTTTAGCTTTGCCAGTAAATGCTCCCGAGCCAATTTCCTTCCTCCAAATCCAAATAAAAAGATTCTGACACAATTGAGGAAATTGTTATCTGGGGTGTTCAGTTTCCTTGATGTTTGGTACGCAGTGGACTAGCCATATCTCAGAAATCATGGCTCCAAACTGGGAAATGGAGGCTATGTGGGGGCTCCTAGGAACCTGCCCCCATTTCAGGATATGAGACCAGCCCTGCCAAAGAGGTGGTTGGCTAACTCACCCTATGAACTCTCTGGTCCGTAGATGAGTAGAGCTTGCTCTCAGGCAGCCCTGGGATTTGATGATCTTGCCTTTAGCTGCTGAAGGGAACTGAATAAAATCCCATATTCATGAGTCCATCCAGGAGAAGGGTCTCTCATCCCATCCCATAGATAGCATCATTTACATATGGGTGCTCAGTAGTAAGTGAATAAATGAGTGAAGTGAACAATTGCAGTCCACTCATCTTTGTATCATTCAGTAATCATCTGTTAAATCAACAGGAGGAGGAGAAGGACGGCCTGTGTGAGAGACACTGACATTAGAGAGATGAGAACACGCACTCCCTATTCTTGGAGACTGGCCATTCCCACTGGGGAGACTAGACTAAGTAAACCCAGTTTGTCCCAGTTACAAGACAGTTTGGGGAATGTGCTGTGCTCCAGGAAAGCACTTGACACAATAAGAAGAAGGGATGCATCCTTGTGCTGGAGGGCTGTTCTTAAACATCAGTGAGTTTGGGGAATCAGAATCATAGCTTATGGGCATTAGCATCCCTTCAATTCAGCTGAGTTCTGTGAACACATGGCTGAAAGTGGAGAAATTCAATTTGGTGCCATGAGAACAAAAGTGTGTGAGCATAGATGTCACCCCTTCAGCTAAATGTTGAACAATCACAGACATTAAGGGAATACCTATTACAAGCCAGGCTCAGTGCTACCATGAGGAAACGAAGATAAAGGAGATATAATCTCCCCCCACCCAAGGAGCTTGCAGACCACTGGAGGAGACAGATGGAGAAACAAACGACTAATAATATCTGTATATTGAGGTGTGTGCCAAATGTTACAGGGGGTTAGAATTTAGTGAAAAAAGAGGAACTCTCCCAGGGGTACAGGCCACCAGAGGAGATGCAGTCAGTGATGAAAGATGAGCTGGTGTTCAGGAGGCAGAAAAGTAGAGATGTGTCAGGGAGAGGATTCTGTGGATTTAGGCTGCCCCACACAAACATGGCACCACTGGGAATATGAACAGCAGCAGGAAGGAATTCACTCAGGGTGCTGGTAACCCCTGGGCCACTCTCCAGGAGTGTTCATATAGATGTCTGGAATGAGAAGTGGCCTCTGACCCCTGGTCCATTGCCTGAAGAGGCCAGGCAGAGGCATTTTTTGGCTACCTGGAGTTGAATCAACAAGTTAATACCTGGCAGAGCACGTAGCATCAGCATTAAATTCCAGAAATGGAGTTAGTCGCATGTGTTTTCTGAACCCCAGGCAGTTCCTTCAATGTACTACATTTCTGCCATACCATTTGTTTCATATAAGGCACAAAACAAAATCTTTATGTTTGTACCTTTTAAAATCCAGTGATTTTAATCATGTTACCTTAACACAAGCTGTTGTTTTCACCATTTACCAAAAAGAATAAAGTAGGGCTTGGGATAATTCCATGAACTCAGAAATCGAACTATAGATCCATGGTTTGATCCTAGGGACAAATCACTGTGGGAGATAAAACCTTCCGCTTGATTTCACTGGAGGATAAGAATGCCCCAACCCAGCAGTTGTGCAACCTTGGACCACTCATTTCATTTTTCTGCACCTCAATTTCTTCATCTGAAAAAAAAAAGGTATAATAATCCCAACATCACAAGGGACTAATCCTCAAAAAGATTAGATGGGACACTGTGTGTAATACTCTTAGCACAGTACCTGGCACATAGTCAGCACTCAATAAATGGAAGCTGTTTTCATTATAATTGTTTTCTAGTCATGTGTATGAGCCTTTTCAACATCTCTCTTCTTCTTTCCCCTCGAAGGTGCCTCCACTCAGAATTCTAATACTGTGGAGCCAGAGAAGCAGGTGGACAATACAGTGAAGATGGCCGGTGTGATTGCTGGCCTCCTCATGTTCATCATCATTCTCCTGGGCGTCATGCTCACCATCAAAAGGAGGTGAGTGTCTGGTGCTGTCCTTCAGACTCCGCTGACCCCACCTGGCCCAATACTGCCGTGTGGCCAGGTCCTTGCTCTACTGATCACTTCCGAGCAGGGACCTTCTGTGAGTGTTCAGGCCCTGAAATGCTTGAGCCAGTTGTGGCTCATTGTGTTGACATCTGAACGGCGTGTGCTGCCTGCTTGACAAGTGGCCCAGAGACCGGTGGTTTCCTACAGAGCCAGTGATCCCTCCTACGGTTGGGCCACCTTGATGTGCCATGGGATTCCAGGTCATGAGTGTTCTCAGAGTTAACTGCTCTGTTATAACTGATCAAGTCTCATCATGACTACTGGGGAGCCCCAGAAATACAGATGGAGGAAAATAATGCTTCACCCTTTTTGCCTTCACTCACCCTGATTTCTCCTTGGTCTACCAGCAGCATCCCAAGCTGACCCCCGCATGGCAGAGATAAAGCCTCCTGTGGTGCAGTAGTCCCAAAGGAAGGTTCATTCCTACTCTATGTCCGATAATACCATCCCAGCTGGATTGTTGCTACTTGTTATTTCTCAACAAGATGTCCTCCTGGGTCCACTAACACAGTTATTGCCTGTTGAATTTCTCATGAAAACCAGGGTACAGACTCCTCCTCATCCCCACATCCCCAAGATTTGCCGCACTGACATCTTCTGTTTATCAGACATTCACAAGGGAATTGCGGAGAGGGAAAGGAACCATTCATCTAGGAAAGGTGATGCGTATCAGCTGTCACTGTCCCAGGACGCAAGGTTATTCCTCCAAAGAGGGAGTCCCAGGGCCCACCACTCCTTGACCCCTGGGCTGGCACCATGTTTCCATACCTACCACCCATCTCCCTGTCTTCTCAATTTCAACATGGCCGTCCCAGTCTTGGTCTCCTCCTTTCCACTCCCCTAGTCAGCCAGAGCAAACAAAACATTCATCTACATTGTATATTATATGCTGCAGCATGCCTTGCCCCCAACTTGAAGATAATTTTACATCATTAAACAAACCACTTAACACCTTAGCCTAAAGCTCTGCTTGTTTGGTCATTCACAGAGTTCGGGGCAAGCCCCATAACAAGGACCAGGGACTTGCTTCCCTCTGTGAAGCAAAAAGTGCTCATGAAATTTGTTTCCCACCATAGCAAAGAGACAGAACGTCCTAAAGACAAATTCCAGCTTCTACCTAAGGAGTCCCATAAGTATAAATGCAGAAAGTTGTTTTTTTTTTTTTAAATCCCCCTTTCCAGTGTTCAATGAGTCAGAAATACTGGGCTTCTCATTATACATGCAGTCAGCCTTCTCTTAGCTGTTTGGCACCAGAATATCCCTGTATCTTTCATGACTCTGTTCTGAATCAGCTAGTCCTCCCTCTGGCCAGGACATCTTATTGGTGGGACCTTGTCCTTTCTTGATATCCTTTGTCTAACAGGATCACTCCTTTCCTCAGGCTCTCAATAGAATGACGGGAGAGTTAAGGTTCTTACACAGCTACTGATTTTCTGGTGGGAGAGGGGGAAGGGAAGGTATCACATTAATATCGGGGAACAAGAACCCCCGAAGCACTAAGGACAGCACCGCATTGTCATATCCTCATCATCCCTAAGACCATATTGTAGGTCTTAGTAATCAGTCAGCTGCTATTAGATGAAGTCAAACATGAAGTCTGGTTTCTCTGGAGGCAGTAAGCACGTGTAAGATTGCTGACATGTCTCTTAGAGTCTCAGACGTATTAGAGGCAGAGGTGGGAGTTTGGAATTGTCTACCTGGAAAAAGTAACCAGTTTAATAGAATCGCATTCCTCTCTGATAGACCTGAAATGTTCTCATTCTTTGCCACTGATTTGTAAGTCAGATAAGCTCTTCCAATTTTGCTCTTTCTAAAGCCTGGCTTAACCCACATCACCATCATCTGTGAGCTTGTGAAGAAATTTCACTTCCTTCTCTACAGCTATTTCTGCAATGTGTGACTTTTCGGGAGGGAGGAAAGGGCTTTCTCTTTCCAGGGTGGGAACAAGTATAGAGTGAGTCCTCTGTGTGGTTTTAACCTCTACTGTGTATCTTCATCATTGCTCACCTGTATCAAAACCGTCCATCAGACCCAACCAAGAGGAGTCACATGATCACCGTTTGTCCCCAAGAGGCAAATCTGAGATGTTGTGGCATCAAGGGGGGTCGGCAGGGGCAGGGACTAATCACTGTTTGCATACACGGTATCTTTTGTAAAAAAGAGAAAGGGAAAAGTTGAGAGTAATAATTTACAGATGGGTGCAGGGCAAGGGAAGAGGAGAAAAAGAGAACGTAAGTATAGATCTGCACTGTTTCCAGTAGCCTACAGTGTCTTCTGATGTTGAGAGATGCCCCCAAAGGACAGTGAAGCATTTGGTGAGCTCCCTTAGCTCTTCTGACTCCAGCCCGATATAGAAGTATGGGGAAAGCTTCGTTGTTCAGTTGAGTCTGTCACTAACTTACTGCTGGCCTGAATGCTGTCCGCAGCTACCTAAAAGGAAGAGGTATTAAAGGAAAAGAAACCCCTAAATAATAGGCAGATCATCACAACTCAGGATCCTGGTGTCAGTATCTCTTCAGTATCCCAGTGTGACCTAGAGTTAATTCCTGGATGCAGGAATTCTCAGAAGTCACATGCCAGATGCACCCCCTCCACTGACTTGAATCCTAAGGGATTCACCTGGCTCAAAAATTTCCCCAAAGCACAGCCAGATGTTTCAATACACATAAGATGTCCCTCGATTCTCCCTGCAGTGTTCATCATCATTGGCCTTGGGGCTTCCTTGTGACTCTCCGATGAGGGTCTTTCTCTTGTTGTTAGATGTTTCCTTTGGTGATACTGAACTAGAAAGTGATGGAGAACAGGCTAGAGATACAGAGGACCAAGGGAAAGACTTAATGAAAGAAGCTAAATCAATTGTTTTGTTGTGGTTGCTTGGTTGTTTTGTAATGGATGAAGGGGGTATTGAGAAATGTAAGGTTGCAGAAGGGGATATGAAATGTCAGTGGGTGATTCAAACAGGATTTGCCAAAGATACAAGTTAAAGATTTTGTGTAGTACCTTTGGCTGTTTGGAGAGGGCTTCTTTGAATGCAGGCCAATGCAGAATCAGAGCTACATGGAGATACAAAGGGTTACATGAGCATTTTCAGAAAGCAACCTGGAGGGGGCGGAGCAAGATGGCGGAGGAGTAGGAGACCTGGATTTCGTCTGGTCTCAGGAATTCAGCTGGATAGGGATCAAACCATTCTGAACACCTACGAACTCAACAGGAGACCGAAGATAAGAATAGTAACAACACTCTGAACAGAAAAGCGACCACTTTCTGGAAGGTAGGACGTGCGGAGAAGTTAATCCGAGGTGATATTCGGGAGGATAGACGGCGGGGGAGGGGGCCTCGGTCAGCCCATTCTGGCAAGTGATAGAGCCACGGAGCACAAAATCAGAACTTGTAGAAGTCGGCTCCGCTGAGGGACATCGCTCCAGTGGCTAAGCAGGGGGTGGAACCCTCGCGGGACAGTGTGGTCTCAGGACCCTCGGGGGTCACAGGAAGACCAGGGGTGCCTGAGAGCGGCATAGCTCCCAGGGATCGGAGCGGGGAAACTGGCTGCAGAGACGGAGCTGAGGCACGGGCTCTCAGCTCAGGGTTGCCATAAACCGTGATCCCCGGCACAGTCGGGCCACTGCTCCTCCAGCAGGGACCCAACAAGCGGCAGATCTGGGGAGACACTCCTTCCTCCCCCAGAAGGAGCGGCACAGGAGCGCAACGCAGGGATCTGCTGGGTTTGGAGACTCCACACCGAGTCGGGTGCCAGAGATAGAAACATTCGGTCACAGGCCGGGTGAGCAGAGTGCGGCCAGAGACCGGGGAGACGGGAGTGATTGACTGCTTTTCTCTGAGGGCGCACTGAGGAGCGGGGCCCCGAGTTCTCGGCTCATCCTGGGCGGAGATTGGGAGGCCGCCATTTTCACCCTCGACCTCCAAAGCTGAACGGAAAGCTTACAGGGAACAAAAGCTCCAGAGAGCAAACCCGAGCAGATTACGTAGCCCAGACCGGCAAGGGCAATTCCGCCTCCGGCAAAGACATTCGGGAACCACGGCAACAGGCCCCTCCCCCAGAAGATCAGCACAACCACCAGCCAAGACCAAGTTTACCGATCAATGAGAACAGCAGAACACCAACGCTAGGGGAATACTGCACATAGAATTCATGGCTTTTTTACCATGATTCTTTAGTTTTTCAAAGTTAATTTTTTTTAACTTTTTTTTTGAATTTTTCTTTTTCCCTTTTTCAACCAACATCTTATCAATCCCTTTTTTAAAACAACATTTTTATTTTTCATTTTTAGACTCATATTCTATCCCTTCATAATAATTACCCTTATTTTTGGCATATATATATAAGTTGTTCTCTCTTTAAAATTTTGAGATAGTTTCTTCTAACAGATCAAAATATACCGTAAATCTCTAGTGTATGGCTTTGTTCTAGTCTCCTGCCTGATCACATTCTCTCCCCCTTTTTTTTCTTT